CGGGGCCGTGTCCGTCCCCTCATGGCGGTGCTGTGTGGGGCCGTGCTGGGCCGCTCGCTGAGGCTCGCTGAGACTCGCAGCTGCAGGCCCTGGAAGCCGGTCCTGCTCCTGCTCAGCCCGCCGGCTTTCTCCACGACCTGCGCCCGGTGCGCCAAGGACAGGCGGCTGAGGCAAAAAAGAGCCATTTCGGAGCGGCAGCTGGTAAGTGCTGGGCTCCGTGCGAGTTCGGGGTGTCTCAGACACAGCTCCTGCAGCTGGCGCTTCTGGAGTGAGGAAATACTGGCTAAAATACAACTGACTTCCAGAATAGTGAGGAAATGAGTCTGCCCCGCGATATTCTCGGTGTTCACCGTGATCGTAGTAGCGGTCCCTTTCTCTTTGGCCTATTTGGGCTGGAGGCATCCATAAATCTTGAAAGCAAAAAGTCTTTTTAAAGCTAAAGCTCGAAAATGAAATTTTAGCTTTAAATCTAAAATACTGTTTTGTTTATCACTGTTTTTTTAGTCTTACGGTGTAGGCATCTGCCAAACAAGCATCACTTTATGTCAGGGAAGCTTCAGAGTCCTAGAGGTTATTCTTCATCTTATTTTTTATATGTACACGTCTCTGGAAAATCTTATTTTCTAATGATCCATAAATCACTTCCCATTGAAAGCCATAGTTTACTGTCTCGCCGTGTGGTGGTGCCAGATACTTTCTAAAAGAGGCTTTTTAGTAGTAGTATAAGTGTGATTATGAAAAGTTCAGTTGAGAGGGTTTGTTTTTTTTCAGTTGCTTATCTTCAGTATCATAACACTAATAAGACCTTTTCTCCCTCACGTACTGTTTATGCTGTTTATCTAAAGTGACCCTTAAAGCCCATTCTCATTATGAAGTCCCTTAGTAACTGACAGAATTTGAAAGTTACCGTGATCACGGTCATGCTTTCTCTTTTCATCCCTCTGTGTAAGCAATTCCACCTGTCAATGAATGTACTTCTCTAATATTTTCCATTGGGAATTTCAGCCCCTTTTCTGGACATAGATAAAGTTAGGTATTTGCTTTTAAAAACTTTCTTAAAAACACTTGAAAGATGAGATCTGTTTTTCTTTATTATTACAGTCAGTACACTGCGTCTGGTTGGTCTGTGAATGGCAGCGGAATTCTGATTCAGAGTTCTGATTTATTTTTTTTTACTTGAGTTGAATGGAACTCATCATGGCTAAAAACAGCAGGTCTGTCTATTAACTGAAACTTTTTGGAAGATGAGTCTGATAAATTGTACTTAAAGGGAACAACCCCCACCCTTGTTGCAGACACGTTATTTCGTGGATCAGCGGAAAGTGCGCGTGGTTGGAGGACAAGGAGGAGGAGGGGGCCATTCCTTCTACAGTGAGCCCAGAAAAGTATTTGGAGGTCCTGATGGTGGAAATGGAGGTGATGGGGGTCATGTAATTTTTAAAGGTAAGCCTCATTTAATCTGTTCTGTGTTTCTGTTTTGTTAATTTGTCTTATTGCTTAACACCCCGCCCCAGAAAAAAACAGCCCTATATGGATGGTAAGAAATGGTAAAGGGCAAAAAGATGTAGGTGGTTATTTCTGTATAAGATATATTTGCTTTTGAAGTTTTGTCCTGAGCTGTGGCAAGGAGGACATAAATGACACTGACAGCCTTGGAAAGAATTTTGAAAAGCGAGGTATTTTGCAGATACTTCAGTGCTGGTGCCTGACTGTGTTTTATTGAGGCTGGGATCTGATTAAATTTTCCTCTTAAGATGAATAAAGCTGCTTCTACCACCAACCTGCTGTAAAATCTAATCTAGCAAATTAATTTTGGTTTGGAATGGCTACATTAATAAACCTAAGCAGCTAAGTACAGACAGTTAAACTTCATTGTGACTTAGATTAATGTTGGTCTTCCCTGATACGTTATTGTTGAGACAGTAAATAGGATGTGCACTCATACAATATTCAGGAAGGGAGAGAACAGTCAAGAGATGGCTTTTCTGTGCCTGTTTTACTAAAGCAATGTGTTCAAACTGTGTGTCTTTTGCTTTACAGCTGACCAGCAAATGAAATCACTTTCTTCAGTGTTCCCCTTCTATCATGGTTTTAACGGAGAGAGAGGAGGAAGCAAAAACTGTTATGGAGCTAATGGTGCACACATGTATGTTAAAGTAAGTCAGTGGGTGTTGCCTGCCTGCTTGATACATGCCTGATTTTCAAGATGGAGAACCTTATTGTGAGCAAATCTCATGTGTAATGAAGGGTAAATATCTGACAGTGCTGTTTGAGTTCAAAAAGTGAGTTTCATGAAATACAATTATCTTTTTGGGTTCCTTACCTTGAGAATATGCAGGAATTATTTTAGCAAATCTGAAATTGGCTGGTGGAGGATCTGCTGCAGGCTTTGAGCTTCAGTGTAATGCTTGTTTCTCTTCACTTGGAGGTCCCTGTAGGTACTTTGGTGAAGGAGGATGGCAAAGTTGTGGCTGACCTCACTCAGCATGGAGAAGAGTACATTGCAGCTTACGGAGGAGCTGGAGGCAAAGGGAATCGCTTCTTTCTCTCCAATGAAAACCGCGCTCCGACATTATTTACTCCAGGAGAGCCAGGTCAGGAGAGGGTCCTTCATCTGGAGCTCAAGACAGCAGCTCATGCAGGATTGGTGAGTTTCTGTGGGTGCAGCTTCCATTTGGTGGTAGGATGACACTTGACTGACTGAAGAAATAATGTGTGATAACGTCTTAGCCCTTGGCTTGCTTGTTTGGAGATGCAGCTCGCTGCCTTATTGCTGTTACTTGGTAGAGGGGTGTCCAAAGTCATTCACAGAGCTGTCACTCTCATGCTGCTTGGTGTTGTCCTACTTCTGCTAAAATCCATACTATACATAGAGAAACAAGATCCATCAGTGATTGCTGATGATGTACAGCAGCTTTGTCTGCTGGTTCTGCAGAGAACAGTACAGTTTAGAGAATTCTTTTAGGAATTCTTTTAGGAATTCTTTTAAATTGGTTTGTTTTCTTGTTTTGGGGTTTTTTTTTTCCCTAAATTTTAAAGTTCAAATCATCTGTTTCATCCTTGCATTTTTCTGTTTACAGATACTACATTTGACCTTGTTAGAGCCAGGTTTATCATCCTCTGAAGTGAAAAATGCTGAGTCAACTTTGAGCTTAAGCTATTTTTGGTTTCGGGCATGGCAATATTCTAACACCAGCTGGCAAAGCTGTGAAAGTTCTGCTTTGATGCAAAATGTTCTTGCAGAATTGCAGGATAACTGTCTGGTCTAGCAGAATTTTGCAGATTTGTTGAAAGATTGAGAAATTTGAGTGCTTGTATTCCAGGTGGGCTTTCCCAATGCTGGCAAATCCTCACTTTTGAGAGCCATCTCCCGGGCAAAGCCAGCTGTGGCTGCCTATCCATTCACAACCCTAAACCCTCATGTTGGCATTGTCCACTATCAAGACTATGAACAAGTGGCAGGTAAGAATTTGAAGTTTGTTGTACCTTGATAGTAATTTGTGTCACCTTTTTAAATGCTTTAAAATGCTGCAGAGATAGGTTCAGTTCCGTAGACTTCCTGCTAGTTCTCAAGAACTTCAACCAAAACTCTTCTGAAAGCCCTTTTCACCTTTACTTGTGGGTACCCTTAGTGCCAAACTGTCAGTCTGTATTCTGTCTGCACTGGAGTCATCTAAATTTAGGTGTTTTAAAAGATAACAGCAGTAAACTTAGTGTGAGTTGTGCTTCAGTATTGAAGCACCGAGGCATAATTCTAAAAGTACTGACACTGACCAGTAAAAGACTGGGGAATTTTTTGGGGGGTTTTTATTGGATCTGCTGGATTCTCTGTGAAATTTCTCTTACAGTTGCTGACATTCCTGGCCTGATCAAAGGTGCTCATCAGAACCGTGGGCTGGGGATGGCTTTCCTAAAGCACATTGAGCGCTGCCGCTTCCTCTTGTACGTGGTGGATCTCTCCGTGCCTCAGCCGTGGATCCAGCTGCAAGACTTGAAAAATGAACTGGAAGCATATGAAAAAGGCTTGTCTGAGAGGCCTTGTGTTGTGGTTGGGAATAAGATTGACCTTGCTCAGTCCAGAATCAATCTGCCACTCCTTAGGGAGCAGGTTGCTGACAGAGTCATCGCGTTGTCTGCGCTGACAGGAGACAACTTGGAGGAGCTGCTGTTGCATCTGAGAGAACTGTATGACACTTATGTGAGGACAGAACAGGCACAAGGACAAAGCCCAGTCAAGTGGTAGAAGCCACAACTGCTGTGAACTGTGCTGGAAAGGAGAACAAAGTTAAAGTAGCAGCTTGATTTGACTGCATCTCTGTGATCTGGGCTTCTTGTGGTTGTTTTCTTTGTTAAAATGGAAGGTCACATCATGGAGATTGATTCTGGACTGCTGCTTTGGAAAGATTGTTTTATTTATTTGTTCACCTTTGAGGTGTCTCTGAAGTTTTACAACAAAGCTTGAAAATTGTAATCATGGTGGGTGTTGAACTGGAAACCTGGCTCTTGTTTGGCATACTGTGGAATGAAGAGAATGCTGTCTAGTAGAAATGACTGAAATTCAGAATCTGCAGGAGAAGTTGGCTTATTTTATGAAGTATAGTGAAGTGGCTTTCTCAATTTTCACTAATCAAAAGTTCTGAAATAAAATCAGGTGCTCCAGTGTTTATCTGTTTTTATATGATGGCAAATTTCAGTTGTGTCTTAAAACTTTTCTCCTGTTGTGCTTTGGTGTGGGTTTTTTTCCTCAGAGGAGGCACAGCTCAGTAATTTTAGAGAGGAGGAGCATGAAAGACCTGCAATTAATGACTGAAATGACATCCTCATTAATATAAATAATTTACTATATTTAAATGCTGGCAGGCGCTAAGTAGCTGAATAAACTGACCAGGAACCAGCTGTTTGAGACTCACATCTGAGTTCTCCCATTTAGGAATCTCAGGCAGTGTTCTGAGAAATCCTAGGCTTAGATACATCAAATAAAAGAAACAGTTCTTTATGTGTGTGTGTTCCCCCTCTTTTTTTAACTATGTCACTTTATGGACTGTGTTCTTAAGCTTCAGGAATTCAGGAATCTTAATTTAGAACCGTGATCTTTGCCCCCTCCTCATACTGAAAAAAGAGCTGCTTCTGTATACTCTGGTTATATTTTCTGTAAAAGATTATTATCTTCATAATGGAAAGTCAAAATTCATCAAAGCATATTATTAAATTTTTTGATAAGACACCTGAACAGGCTTGTGGGGTGCTGAGACACAAACACTGTCAGAAATAGAGGAAATTGTTGAGTGGATATGAAAAAACACTCAGCTGTAGTCTCTAACCACAGTGAAGGTGATTATTGTCTCTGCTTCTTTCACTTCACATTTTTGATTTTATCCCTGGTAGTCTAATGCTTCTGCATGGAACATCCTTAAAAGCAGGGTTTTAACTCTGAAAAAGTACAGGTCAACTTGAAAGCCTGAACTGATTAATAAATTATGGCAAACCAAGTAGTTCCCACTCCTGAATTCTCATTCTGAGTTTATCTGTTTGTGATCAGGTGTGGGACGTAATCTGTGCATTATAAGCAGTGATGCTGGTAAGAATAGGATGAGGCAAAAAGCAAAACTAGTATTAAATCCTAAAGTCTCTCTAATGTTTTGCTTCATCCCTGGGATTTACTGAGTTGAATTAAATAGAAATTTAATATTCAGTTCAGTTCTTCTGTTTGGATTTGTGTGGCATTTTTAGGCTTCACTGCTGTTTTTTCTGCTATTGCTACATGCTTTTCATCCACTTTTAATAAAACCAGGGGAAGGTTGCCTGAACACCGAAGCTGGTGCAGTTTCTTAGCAGATTATTTAATACCCAGAGATGCTTTGCACGCTCTCTGGCTGTGTTGAGAGTGCCAAAGGCTGTTTCAAAAGCCTCAGTACTCTGAGGAGCTTTCACCCTCCCTTTAGTGCTCAGGTACCCTCAGTTCTTGCAGGAAGAGCCGTGTTGTTTACTGGTGTGCAGAAAGCACAGCAGGTTTCCTGACACCTCCCAGGAGTGTGCCATTGATCCTGGAGTTGGTTCTTTGTTCTTAGCACTTCAGCCACCTGCTCTGAGGTGACAGCACCAAGTTCCTAAAGCCGTGTTCTTGCTCAGCTCTCTTCTTTGCATGTTGCTATATTGTTATGCCAGGTGAGGATGTGCATTTGTGTATTTTATACACATTTCCTGACTGATGAGTGAGAAGACCAACCATACTACAATTCCATATAATTATGGTTTAATAACTCACTCGTGTCTGCATATTCCAGTTCAATAAGAGGGTTGTGGTTGGTTACTTTGTTACAATCCATTTATTCTGGTGACATTCAATTCATTTAATTGGAGTGAGTGGCATAATGCAGTGGTGACCTGGGTTCAGTCTGTTGGGCTTTTAACCTGACTGTAGCACTGCAGCACTCAAATGCTGTTATTTTATGTCATGATGAGTGAGTACAAGACACAAAACATGAAGAGCCTTGTGCTTATTCACATACGCTGAAAATGTTTTATACAGACACAACCACCTTTTAAAATGCATGTTTAGAAATGCACTTTAGATCCAGACTTACTAAAACTGATTGAAAATCTGAAAATGAACTGCTGAACAAATTATCTTTTGTTATTCAAATCCTACATGGGGCCTTTTTTTGTCTTTGTAACTGGAGAAATCAATAGGCAATGTGCTGGTAACAGTCAATATTTCAGAAAGCATCTGATGGTTTGGGATCAATTTTTGCATATGGAAAAGCTTTGTCATGGATTAAAGATTTCTCATTTGAATCTTGGCATTTGGGTTCTTGGTGCTTAATTACCTTTGAGACTGGAACATCGTTTCCCACAGACTTGTGAATCCCCACCCAGTGCTTCCTTTGTACCCACACTAATCAGCCATTGACAGAAGCTCCTATTCCCTCTCTAAATCCAGATAAATTAATCTTCCACTAAAAGTGGAAAATTCTTATGATGAAAAATATTTGCATGAGGCAATGGAATTGCTAAAACACTGGTTGTCAAGAAGACATCTGTGATATTACGGATGAAGTATCCCTATTTTGATTATCTTATTCATGAAATCATACTGGTTTGTGGTTCTTCATTTCCTGTTGTTTTCCTCCCTTATAAATCAGAAAGATGAGTTTGGGCAGCTAGAGTACTTTGTCCAGACAAGAAACACATTTATCACATTTAAAAAGTAACCTGGTAAAATGTCACTCTTTTAAATCAATATTTTCTTACTACATGGCTTTAGAAAATGTTTCTTCTCTTCACTTGTCCACCCCCACAGCAGACATGTAATGGAAGTTTAAAGCAATGGTGCAAACAGACAATTACTGGGATGCTGAGCTTTGTCTAAGAAAACCAAAATCTGATAACATTAAATAACTCCAGAGCCAGGAGCTGTGGGTTTGAAGCTTGCCCCACCATGTGATGGCTTGGGTGCCACATGAGCTGCACTTGTGCCCCTTGTATCTATAGACCAAAAAAATGTATTTTATTTTGGCAAGCTAGCACATCTCTGTTTCTAAATCAACCAAAATTTTCCAGCTTCATTAACTAATTTATGGCCATTAGGAAAATGGTTTTGATGGATGAAAATTTCATGGGTTTAAATATTTTTATTTTTTTTTTCAATTACAGTACTTTGTTTCTGAGTGATTTTTTTTACTCTTCTGCTGGTAGAAACTGAATCATGGGAGGCTGAGGTCCAAACTTAGCCAGGCTTGGAAAAGCCCACTGAATTTCAAACATTTTGAATTAAAATATCTGTCTGGATTGGGACCCTAGAAACTTGCAGAGTCACACAGATATTGTGTGGCAAGACAGGTGACCTGGAATTTGGGAAATAATGCTCCAGTATCCACTTTAACCTCTTCATGGAACTGCAGTCCATGGCAGTGTTTAGGAGCTTTAGGAGACATCACTCACACATCTCCTATGTATTTTTTAAGACATTCAGAGATTCCTTCACAGTAGATAAAACTTATTCTGTAGATGGGTACCAACAATTGCTATGTGAAACATGGACAATTTACTAACTGGTGCTACTAATTGATGTAATTATCACTAATTAAACGTTCTAAAGATAGTGATTTTTGTAATTGTTATTCAATGGTTTGAAGTGGCTTATCAAAAAGAAGCTGATCAACAGAACACTTCTAGAATTGTATGTTCAGACTAAATTAAATTAGTGCTGAAGAAGTTATTTTCCTAATGTATTTAGCCTGAAATAAAACTGATATCACATTTAGCTAACCAGGGCACTTGATGAATGGATGCAGAGTAGAAGATTTGCTTTTAATTAATATTCAAGCTAAAAAATCGCTATATGCCCTCTTTAATGCCAGGAAAGCCTGAGTGCTCATATATTAATGGAGAAAATAATTGCAGAGGGCCACAAATTGATTGAATAAAGAAGGAACTTGTTCAGATTTTCTCCGAAAATGCTATGCCCATTCTGGTCTTTCACTTAATATATCTGCTTTTTCAAAGGCAATTTGATAGATTCTGTCAGCACACAAATACCTCTTCAGTCTGTTGTAAAAGTGGCATTTAGGCCAAATAAAATTTATGTTCTGTGTTCTTCTGCTGTGAAGGAGACAATTCTGATTTGATAACTTGTTATGCCACTGTTGGGAGTGCTTAATATTGATTACAAATATTTCCTATTTACAAATGGTGACTGGAAGGCACTTTTCTGAAGTGGTGCACAGCCTTGGGTCCCAGTGAAATAACTGCTGAGGTGAAAACGTGGTTATTAAGATGAGTCAGTCATAATGACCTTAAATTCCTGATTTCCCCAGCTTTTAGTCATTTGTTCAATACTGCTGGAGCTTCTCTCAAGAGGTGAGTGAAAGAAGGTTGAACACCTGGGTGTTTTCAAGGGAAATCAGTGTAATCCCTGTGTTCTCAGGGATTATCTCACTTTTCAGGTTGTCACTTCATGGTAGAGGACAGGAGCATGTGGCACTTGTGAGGGGGGCATTTCTAAGGTATTTCAGCTCTTTATGTCTGAAATAAAGATGAAATATTCTGCAGGCTTCTGTCTGCATGAGCTCTTCCCAGTGAGAGCTTCAGGAAGGTTGTGTTGGGCATTTTGCTCCTCTGCTGAGGTTTTATATTGCCCTGGTGCTGCATTCTTCCAATGACAGTCATCATATTTGACCTCAGTCTTTTCCTTACTCAGGAATTAGCTGTGTGTCAGCATTCCTCTGCTTGTACAATTCCATAAAGTCTTCTGCAACCTTCATTTTGATTAAAGGCTTTAGTGGCAGCAACAAAAGATCTTCTTCCTTTCATGAAAACTCTTGGATAACAGATTAATTCCCAGAGCACTGACCATAGGTTTCATGAAAGTATTACATGTATTATTTTATCCCTGTATATTTTGAATACAAGCTGTATCAGAGATATTAAATAGTGCTTTAACCATAGTGGTCTATTAAATTTGTGCTTTTTAGAGTATAAAATATAAATTATTTTTATAATGGAGGGTGATTTCTTCGCTTGGTGAATCTGTCTTCAATTCATGGACACTGCAGGGTGTACTTGCAGCCTCATGTTCAAGGGTTTATATGAAACCCCCATCATTGTTTGTTCTTCAAGAAACTTCTAAAGCTTCTAAAGGCTAAAGCTGTGTGTGAGCTGTTAGTTAACAGCTAAAAAAATTGCCAGAACTGTTGTTGCCTGCCTAGCAGAGAGCTTGCTGTTTGTGAATTCTCAGAGAGATCTTGAGTGAGATTATTAACTTACATTGCAATCAGTTTTCCTTCAGTGTTAATTGTGCTGCTAAATCCTAGGATATTGTGTTAAAAATAATTCCAAAGTCAGTGTCACATCACAGACACATTTTTGTGCTTAAAAGAACAGCTGTTTAAGTTGTGGGTCCAGTCTGCATATAAAAAAACTCTGGTTTTGTCATGAAGCCTTTACAGCCCAGCCAAAGGTCCTGCTTAGTACCTCTAAGTCATTAAAAAACAAACAAAATTGACATTCCTGAGCTGGCAACAAGAGGTGCAGGAACAGAGCTGGATATTTTTGCCTCTGAGGTGTTCACAAGTGTTCTTCCCTTGGGCAGTGGTGGGTTTGTTGAAGTAAATGCCAATGACAGTTTTAAATCTCAATAAAATGGTGGTACTGGGTTACAGGTAAGACCTTTCACCCTGAAGAATTCCTGATGGCTTTTCTAAAGCCCCATAATTCCTTAATCCTGCAAATGCAACTATATTGACAGAAAATTGTTGTAAGGAGGAAAGGAGGAGACTTAAAGGTTGAGGGAACAGAGAAGTGCTTTGAGTTCCCTACTGTCCACAGGAACATTTTTGCAATCTTGCATGAAAGGCTGGCTTTGTGGTGTCAGAAATTGAGAGAGCTTTTCTCTTTTGTAGCACTCATCCAGGGCAGCTCGCAGAGATTTTATTCTTGTCTGCAATTCTCACATCAGAAGGAAATATAACACTCCTTATTGTGCCTCATCTATTTGCAGAACAAGTTCAGTAGAGTGCAGGAGGTCTGTTTTAGGACCAGGTCTGTACTGATGTCACTGCTCAGCAGCTGGGGTTGTGAAAAATTAATCCTCCCTCATAGAAATCATATTGTTAAAGTTCTTTCTGGCAAGGATGTTAACCTCTGGTCTTTCCATTCTAGTTCTGCTATGAAAATGAACGGTCATTTACAAACCATTAGCATTCTTTCAAATCAAAATACAATCACATCTTGCTAATTTCAAAGCCTTTTCCTCCCAGCAAATCTCATTAATTATCACAGACAGGTGTTTTGCAACAAAAGCTCCTTCTTGCATTCTCTCTTCTTCTCCAGCCTCCTAGTTGAGCTAATGAAGCTCCAATGATGTCTGTGGAACAATGGAGCAATTTCTGTAACTGCAGGTTGGAGAGAACAAATAAGAGATGGTAATTGAGGAGGGGCCAGAGGAGAGGCTGCGGGAGCAAAGTTCCTCTGTCTGTGTAAAGAGATCTCTCATCACTGGTGATTAGGGAGGAAGCATTTAGAGAGACAGAAAGAAAGTAGCTGTGCTTAAAAAAAATCAAGGTTTTTGATAGTTTATTGATATGCAGATGCTGCTGTAGGAAAAGACCACAGACCTCGTTAGGGCAGCCTTTATTTCCTCGAGTTAATGGAGTGTTGGTTGGTATGGAGAGAGGGGAACTGGCATCACCTCCACACTGCTCCTGGGGGAAGTCACTTATCCAAAAAGCTCCCAGGCATGACTGGCAGCTGTGTGAATGCTGTTTACCAACACTCCCTGCATAAATTGGATGCTTCTCTCTGGAATTAGCCAGGTTTCTTATCTCTGTGGAGATGTGCTGTGGAAATGAAGGCCATGTGCCTCCCCAAATATTTGAATCATATTTATAATTATAGCAAGTCTGCCTTCATGGTTGTTGAAAGCAGGTCCTGCCTGCTTTGCTTACACCTAGACAATAGGAAAAGGTGTTTTTTTAGCAGGTATGGTAAATAAATGATACACAGGTGTTTTGCTGGGCTGGTTGACAAGCAGCCCTGCCTTCTCTAGTGGTTATGCATTTTCACAATTCATACTGGATTATGCCTAGAAGCTCCCTAGTCCCTGCCTCTTCCAAATACATCTAGACATTTATATTCTGAACTCTGAAAATCAGCAGAATTCAAATACTTTTTAAAGCATATTTGAATTAATCATCAGCTACTCTGAAACTTCAGAGCAGTTCCCAAGGTTTTCAGTATGAAAACCAGGCTCAGGTGTGACCTCATGTCCAGGCATAAATAGTTAGTTTTCCTTTTTATCTGG